AGAGCCATGAAGGGAGAATCTCAACACTGAAGGTGAAGATTCCTGATCAGTCATCACCAGGGGACGGATTTACACTCAGGAATCCTGAGTCTGCTCCATGGCTGGGAATGAAGGACGAGTCCCATCGAGTCCCCTGTTTAAAAGACCTGTGGCTTTCAATAGGAGGTATGTCAGCAGCACCTCCTCAGTAACTGTTCCCTAGGTGTTTGAACTCCAATCACATGAGATGAAACCATCAATTTGCTACAGAACAAGCCTTCAGGACAAAAACCACGCACACAAAAGGGGTTTTGAATCCTACTGCAAGCAATTTGTGGTTTCTAGCAGGGACTATGAGAGGCAGACAGAACCATACTTTACATGTCAGTAGTCTGAGTAAGACATTTGCTTCTGTGCAAACAGATCCCACTCTCCTCTCCCCACAAACCACTCAGGATAGGGAGTCCTGTCAGTTCTTCCTTGTTGGATCCCACTTTTTCCTGGCATTCTCTCTGCTGCCCATTTGAAGCACTTAGGATTGCGACCACGCTTCCAGCCACAGAACACTGGATGAGGGTGCCTTCAGAGGTTTGCAAATGCTGATCTTCAGACAGAAGATACCAAGCTTGAATCTCTTGGGAGGCACAGCTGGGAGATACAAGTGGCACAGAGCTGCACAAAAGCCTTCATGTAGTGCATAAGAGACCTTATTCTATCAATCAAAATGAACACAGCACAGGCAGCAGTGGCTGCCTTGAACAGAAAGCAGGAACAGGGCATCCCGCACAACAAAGCCACCCAGCTCCTCTTGCTGCCAGTGTGGGGTCTGCAAATGGGAGAGGAGAGGAAACCCACACCTGGCCCATGAGAACAGCCTCAAATCCTCCCAGAGCTGCAGCAGGAAGAGGTTTCCTTTGCAGGCCACTGGTGTTATCCCCTGGATAGCAGGAGGCAGAGGAGGTGCTGTGGCTCGGCTCCAAGAGCACAACAGCCAGCCTGGGTTTAAAGGTCTGGCGTGAGATCTAGCCCTAAGATTTAGACTAGATATCAGGAAGAAGCTCTTCACTATGAGGGTGATGGCACAGGGTGCCCAGGGAAGCTGTGGCTGCCCCATCCCTGGCAGTGTTCAAGGCCAGGTTGGACACAGGGCTTGGAGCAAGCTGCTCCAGTGGAAGGGGTCCGTGCCCACAGCAGGGGTTTGGAGCTGGATGTGCTTTAAGATCCCTTCCAACCCAAACCCTTCTCTCATTGTGCTAAGCATCAGCCATGCTTGCAGTCTGGCACTCCTGTTTCAACAGTCTACCTGTGATGCTGAAAATGAACAAGAGAACCCCCAGGAGATGACTGGAGTTTAAAGTCTCCTTTAAAACAGTTTCGCAATCTGTCCCTTGTTCTCTCCTTCCCATTCAAAACACCACCACAAAATGATGTCTGTAGTGTTCAAATGCATGTTTTTCAAAGCAACGGCTTAGACTGGCCATTCTTATGCTGGGATATTTAAATATAGAATCATAGAATCATAGAATAGTTAGGGTTGGAAAGGACCTTAAGATCATCCAGTTCCAACCTCCCTGTCATGGGCAGGGACACCTCACACTAAACCATCTCACCCAAGGCTTCAGCCAACCTGGCCTTGAACACTGCCAGGGATGGAGCATTCACAACCTCCCTGGGCAACCCATTCCAGTGCCTCACCACCCTAACAGGAAAGAATTTCCTCCTTATACCCAATCTAAACTTCCCCTGTTTCAGTTTTAACCCATTACTCCTTCTCCTGTCACTACAGTCCCTAATGAAGAGTCCCTCCCCAGCACCCCTATAGGCCCCCTTCAGATACTGGAAGGCTGCTATGAGGTCTCCACGCAGCCTTCTCTTCTCCAGGCTGAACAGCCCCAACTTTCTCAGCCTACCTTCATACAGGAGGTGCTCCAATCCCTGATCACCCTCGTGGCCTCCTCTGGACTTGTTCCAACAGTTCCATGTCCTTTTTATGTTGAGGACACCAGAACTGCACACAATGCTCCAGGTGAGGTCTCACGAGAGCAGAGCAAAGGGGCAGCATCACCTCCTTCGACCTGCTGCTCATGCTGCTTTTGATGCAGCCCAGGATACGGTTGGCTTTCTGGGCTGCGAGCTGCTGTACTGTCACACAAACAGGTCCAGAACCACCAAAAAGGTGTCTTTTCACAGCCTGCTTTAGGACTTGACAAAACTCCATGGCTTAGCCTAGTTCAACCTTTCTGCAGGCTTCATTTCTTCTCAGGGCACAGAATTACCCCTTGAAATGTGTTGCAGAGCTTGCAAATTCTTTGTGCATCCCTGTGGAATCTTGCAAGGACTGCAAATACTTCTTGCCAGCCTGCAGGGACAGCACAGGTTCACCAAGGTCTCAGCATTCCCTGGAGCCCTTTAAGGACCAGGGTTATTGTTAAGACTTGCAATTACTTGCACCAAGAGACCCATCCATCCATCCATCCATCCATCCATCCATCCATCCCTCCCGCAATCTTTTCCTCCCTTCCTCCCTCCCTCTTTTATCATAGAAAGGGATTTTGGTTAGATTTAGTTTAATAATATCAACCTCTCAATATTCCCACTGCTTCTTAACAGCTACTAAACTGGATTATTGTTTTGAGGTCTCTAAGCAGGAGAAAAGCTGAACAGAGACTTGAACCCCCGCTCTGAACCTCACACAAAGCTTGTATTTCACAAGCTGAGGGGCAGCAGAACAGTGTCACAAATATAATTCCCCTCGAGACTTGTTTCAACCCTTATCTGGAGGGTTTTGCAAGACAATAATTCTCTTTACACCACTAAAATCATACTTACAGATGGGAAAGAGTGGGATTGAGTTTCCTTAGTGTAGTGTGCCAAACACAGCTAAGGCTGAACTGGAGGTTTTAAAGGTCTAATGTTCACAAGCTTTGGTTTGTTGCCTGCTACAGAGGGAGAGGATAAAATCAATGCCTTTTAATGGACCACACAACACAAGACTGGGGCTGCACGGTCCAAACTGTGCAAGGCGCAGCAGTAGAGTAAGTTCAACCCCAAAACTAAGGGCTTTGGGGTATTTCTCTAAGGTCTGTAATCTGAAGTTGCCAGGATGGCCAAATGCCCTTCCTCTTCTCCATGCTGTTTATGCACCAAACCCCAAGTATCTTAAGGCTTTTAAATGGACATGGGTTTAGCCTTCATCAACAGAATTGGTTTTCTCTGTGTCCATCTGAGAAGTGACAAGTGGTAGCAGCACATCCAAAGGGTGAGCAAAGTAAACCTTGTTGTATAGGCCTTTTTGCTCCCTCCTTCAATATTTCGGGTGTTATCCAAGTGCATCCTGCCCCTGCCAAAATCTCTCCCCCACTGCACTATCATTCCATGAGCTATTTCACACCTCCCATTCCATTCTAACGTGGAGCCAAACCCATCCAGACACCGGCAGTGTCCAACGTGTGATCGAATGGAATCTTTCCCTGGACATTAGGAGAGGCTGCGAGATGTCAGGGGTGAAGTATGGCCATGGTAGGAATGATGCTCAGCTGTGCAGTTCATTCCATGCCTTTCCACTCATTGAATCCAGATGCCACAAGTTTCCCAGCTTTGTAAGTATCCAAGAGGCAAGGGCACAGACTAACACACAAGATGTGAATCAATGGCTGGGGTAGGGAGGAATTCCAGTGAGCTGGGAGGATTACTTAAAAGAGAATAGGAAAAGAGGAAAACAGAAGGTACCAGAACTTGTCATCAGTTGGACATGGAAGTGCTTCCATCCCTGGAAATGTTCAAGGCCAGGCTGAACATTCAGGGCTTGGAGCAAGCTGCTCTAGTGGAAGGTGTCCCTGCCTATGGCAGGGGGTTGGAACTGGATAACCTTGAAGGTCTCTTCCAACCCAAACCATTCCATGATTCTATTGTTCACAGCCTCTGGATCTATTGGAGCATCTTCCTTAGCCAAGGCAGAGAATTCCCCACAGAAATCAAATCTCTGCACTGTGTTCTCAGACACATCCCTGCAAAGCACCTGAGAGAGCAGGACAACAGAGAAGAGTTATTCTGTGTGTTCCTATCACACCACCTACGCTGCTGTAGTGCAACTTTTGCCAAGCTCCACCTTCAAAACGGAGCAGGATGCTTTGCTCCTCAGCTCTCCCCAAACACCCTACACCAGTGTGCACACAGAGTTAGAGGAGGGGAGCAAGCACACTGTGAACTCACTACCTGTCTCTGTGTGTACTAATGCCACAGAGCCAGTACAATCCAATACCCAACAGAAAGATGCTTTCCTACCTCAACAATTCACATGTAGGCAGCAGAGGCGTGCCTTGTCTGTACACTTCCTTTTGGTACCTGAGAAATGTCAGCAGGATCACATAAAGAGCTCTAAAAAGACAGACACTGCGGTGATGTTCAGCATAAATTGCTAAGAGGGATGCTCAAGAAGTGCTGACATGAATCACAGAAAGAACTGCTATGCCAAGAGGAACAAAGACAGGCATTACACTTAGCTGAATCCATCCATGCAATGTCTCACACAAACAACAGTTTCATTCAATGTATTAAAATCTGATCACTTGTTATGCAGCATTTGACAAAGTCACTATCTCCATCATAGCAGACAGGGTCCAAAGCAGCAGATTTATCTGCCCAAAGCATTTGGGTATGAAAGGCAGTGGAAGAATTCCATGCCAGATGTCTAGAGACATAGGTGGAGAATGCCCATCTCCTGGCGGCCAGCAGCCAGTGTCTCCAGGCTACTCAATGGGGCAGTTCTGCATCTCTAGGCTGCTCATCCAGCAGCTCTGCACGCACTGGAACAAGGATTCTTTGCTTACAGACTCCTTTTTCTCCCCTCGATGGTCCTTTGCTTGCAATAAGCTCCCTGCAGTCCCACAGACAGCATCCTTTGGAGGACCCAAAGTGAGAAGCAGAAATCCCCCTCCCCACCACTGATAAATGTCCCATCAAAATGTTGTGCTGCCAAACATACTGTAAAACAAAGTGGGGCTAGAAAACACAGCATTTACCTGGCAAGAGATCTGTACAAGGTAGACCAGTTCCTTGGATTCACAGCCATTTCTTGTTACTTCATTCTGTTCCTCCGGGAGCGAAAGCTACACCAAGGGAGAAGGGATGGGGTGGAGAAAGAGAGAAAGACCAGGTCAGTGAGCAGGGATAAGCCAGGCATGTAATCATGCATGGAGCACAACGTGCACATCAACTTGCTCCAAGACAGGCTGAGTAGCAGGGAATCGGGACGTGTTTGTGTGTCTGGAGCTGTCAGAGAGAAAACATCGAGCCTTCATGGCTTGTGCTAGGATGCCATTGGATTTTGGCATCTCACCCGACAGCTTAAAACTTAAACTGTGGTTCGAGAATAAAACCAGCCTAGGAAGGCAAAAAAGCCAGGGATTAAAGCTCAGAAGTCTGCAAAATCAATGTTTCACTGACATATCTCCATAAATATTCATGTATCAGGTAACAGTGATTTCCCCCCCAATTTTATTCATTTTCTATTCAACCTGTTCAGCAGACATTAGGTAACAAACCAGACCTCCTCGTTTCAGCCTTGTCAAGCAATTTACCACAACAGAGAGCTTTACGGCACCATTCATCATTAAATACAGCATCAGGATGTGCTTTCATTTCAGAGCAGGGAGGAGGGATTTAACCACCTCATTCCTTACATGCACCCAATGGACCAAGTGCCTTGACTAGTACTATTGCTAGTCCTGCTAGTTTAACATCCTATATGTATAATTGCTTATATTTCATCATCTTCTCTGAAAAGTCACCATTAAAAGTGATCAGAAGCAAATTAAGACTTTGCAAAGCCAATAATAAAAGGAAACATGTTCCAAAAAGTTGTTTTATGAAAGGAAGAGATCATTACCCAGCACAGAGTCCCAGGAACTAAAACCTGTATATATATATGTGTGTGTATATATATATATATATATGAAAAACTCCATTACACACAGAGCAGGATGAAGATCTCAACCTCTCAGCACTCACACAGCCATCTCAGCCACCTTTATTCCTCATGTGATAGACATTAAACTGCAGTGACAGCACCTTGTTAAGCAGAAATGATGCCAGCTTAAAAGCAGAAAGCACTGAGGAAGAGTCCAGGCCTTATTCCACAAAGGTCTTTTGGAGCAAGAGACTTGGATCTCTTTTAGAAAAGCTGAAGTCTGGGAAAAAAATCATTATTGGCCAAGAGCAAAAAAAAACCCCAACAAATGGAAGCAGAAATGTGAGACAGCTGAAACAACCTGTGAATGGCATCTCTGGTGACTGAGCAAAGGGTTAAACTGCATCCTTCAGATGGATGTGGCTTGATATAGAACCCAAAATGTTCACTTGTCACATGCAGAAAGTGTCAAACCTCTTGAGCACGATAAGCACATAGGATGCATTAGGTTTGGGGGGTACATTTGTTACTGGAATGCTGTGCTCAACTAGCACAGGCAGATAGGACTGACTCCATGGTACCCTAAAACGTTTCAGTGGAAGCATTTCATGATGCACCAAGAAAGCCCTAAGGATGTTCCTATGAGGTTTAACAGGTGCCTGGACAGCACAGAGTGCTGTGAATGTTATGTCAAGCTATCGTTGTGAGTCCCCTCCCTTCTGCCTTCCTGCACACCTCCACAAGGACAAGGTGAGTGTGTTAAATCCTGGAGCAGACAGGTCATTTTCCCTCTACCAGCACATTCACACTATGCTGCTCTGTGAAGCTGGCTAGTAAGAGCTGTAGTCCCTACTACGATGATCTGCCAAAGGATGAGTAACTATAACAAACCAAACAGAAACAAAGGCATTGAGAGCAGGAGGAAGAAGTAATCGGGACCTCATGGTATCACCAAGAAGGGTGAAAGGCAAAATGTACCTTGCTCATACACAGTTCTGCCACCCAGAGCAGCCAAGACTATTGGTCCCACACAGAGGCAGGAGTAGGTTCCAAGTGCCTCTAGTTCATGCAGTCTGAGAACAAGCAGCTCATCTCTGGTAAGCCAGCAGATAAAGACAGTGATTACAGGAGTCTCCCGCAGAGGATGATTTACTGCTTATTCCTCTTGTAGAGCTAAACAGCACCGGAGTGAACAGTAGGGTAAGTTATGATACAGCACATTCAGAAGGCTTATTCCAAAGCTCAGCAGTTTTACACGGTGCAATGCTGTGCATTTACCTTCCAGAACTGGGGCTAATGAGAACAAAACTCACACTCTCATCCCTCCTCTCCAAAGCAGCTTTGGAAGCTCCCTTCTGCTCACCCTCCAAGAACACTCCTCGCATCAGACCTTGGCAGATCTGTGCTTGGAGCAAAGCAGCGTGTGATTTAAAGACACATCTGTTTGTCTGGAGCTCCATGAGGCCATTGTGAACCTGTCTCGGAGCCACATGGGTCCTGCCACGTTCCCCACACAGAGCCAAAAAGCAAGGGCTGGTGACTCGGGAGAGGGCTTTAATGTGAGCAGAGGCAGGTCCTTCACTTGTCAGCGTGACCACAGGCTTTAAGCCAGTCACATCCTTGTGTGTTCCTCTTAGGAACTGCAGAAGCTCTCAAGAATCACTTCAAGGAAAAGCACTACAGAACTCCATTGCCAACACCAGGATTGCTGGTTACTAAACTGAAGTGCCAAACCCTTACCAAGCAAGAGCTGACTCTGCTTTACAATGTCAGTGGGGCTGTGCCTGCTCCTCCTCGCTCTGCCTCTGATCCTAGATGCCAAATAAGCTCATTTAAATAGCTTTGGCTTTCGTTTCCTTGTTTGCTGAGTGATGTCAACTCCATCATCCAGTCCTTCTGATGACAGGATAATATGTGAAAGACTGGGGAAGGATAGATTTAATTCATCTCTGAACCTTACTTATTTCAGCTTCTGCTTCCAACAGTCAGGAACACATGGATTTCACTTGCACACATCTATCTGAGCAGTGCAAATGCACGTTCTCCTGTGAAACACATATTCCATGACAAATCAAAGTAATCAGGTACATAAAATGCATACAACTCCTCTTTACAGATGAAGAGAAACCTACATGGAATCCTACAAGGATGGCAGAGGACTTGTCATCAGGGACTGTACTGATAGAACAGTGATGGGTTCAAACTGAAACAGGGGAGATCTAGGTTGGATATAAGGAAGAAGCTCTTCCCTGTGAGGGTGCTGAGGTGGTGGTACAGGGTACCCAGAGAAGCCCCATCCCTGGCAGTGTTTAAGGCCAGGTTGGATGGGGCTTGGAGCATATTAGGGGGCTGGAAGTGGATGATCTTAAGGCCCTTTCCAACCCAAACCATTTTATTATTCTATGAAACTGTAATGCTTCCTAATATTAATATCATTAGGAGTTTGCTATAAAGTCAGCTAACACAGACCCACTCCTTTCACTTGAACCCACGACCCATCCCGCTGTGACATCCCACAACTGGCAGCATCTGGCACAGCGTTCCAGGCGGGATGAATAGCTCCTGGAGGGATGTGATGGGGCAAACGGCAATGAACCAGACCCCCTGGCAAGCACGAGCTTCAAGAGGTGTCATCCCAAACACAGCGCACATCTGTGGAGATCTCCGGGAGAGGAGAGATGGCAAGAATGGTGAGGAAGTCTTCTGCCAGGAGCTTGAAGTCAGTGGAAAGGCTGATGCTTTTCCTGGCAAAGGATGTGTCATTGTTCCAAGGAAACCTGGTAATCCTTCTATGTTTTTCCGAGCTGGAATTTCAGGTTAAAAGCAGCCAGACACATGCAACCGAAAGCCCAAGCAGAGCAAAAGCTCATTAAGTTTCCAAACCACTATTACATCTGATGATTCTTCTCCTGACAGCATTAGGCACAAACTCTGCCTTTCTTCTCTTTCTGAGCCACCTCCTGCCTCCTCCATGGGAATTGATGATGTTTGTGCAACTGGGCAAATCAGACGAGGGGAAAAACCACAGGACAAATGCCACCTTCACGCATCGCTTTGGAATGTATGGATGGGGTGAAAAAGTACATCTGGTGGCCAAGAGCAAGAAACACGAGGCTCATTTTCCTGTGAAATATTGCTATGCTTTATTCACAAAAAAGCCCAAATATCCTTGGGATAAATCCTGCAGAAATTAAAAGAGTTAACACTGATCCCACTCAGAGATGCAGTTATTATAGGAAACAGCTTTTATCCCCTCTCCAGCTCCAGTCCCTGATAGCCAGTACTTCCGCTACCTCCTGAATCACGCTGGTGACTCACAAACCACTTCATCTTCATTTAGCTGAGCCCATGACACACGTTTGGCCTGCACTGAGGCACCTTCCTGACCTGGGTTTTGATGTATTTGAGGATTTGATTTGATTGTGTTTGAAATACTAGGCTGGCAAATCGTTTCAAGCGGGGAAACGTATTTTAACTCATGACTCTGACACCAGACATGTATTTATCTGGCCTATTTTTCCTTGCTCCAGATTTTTCTAGCTAAATGTACTAATTATCCTCCCACTGGGTTCCCCATCTTTTGCTTTATCCTTTTCATACTGAACTGTGGCTTCAGAGCAGGAAAAGAACATTTCTGACAGAGCAGCTTCTTTACCCAAGCATAAACATGCTGAATGATCCAAGTATTGCAAAACGCAGGTGATATATCTGCATTGAAGCATCATTAGGGGGCTGAGAAAAGTCTGGAGAGGGGCTTGGGACAAGGGATGCAGGGACAGGCCAAGGGGAATGGCTTGAACCTGCCCAAGGGGAGACTGAGCTGAGCTCTTAGGCAGAAGCTCTTCCCTGTGAGGGTGCTGAGGCGCTGGCACAGGGTGCCCAGAGAAGCTGTGGCTGCCCCATCCCTGGCAGTGCTCAAGGCCAGGTTGGACACAGGGGCTTGGACTCGGATGAGCTTTAAGGTCCCTCCCAACCCAAACCAGTCTATAACATCACTAGAACACACAAGGAGGATACTAGTGCCAGAGGTTAAATTAACTCCTGGCTTAGAGTCTCCTCCTCGCAGACAGAGGTCCCAGCACAGTGCAGGTGCACTGGGAAGGCTGGCTTTCCTGCAAGTGCAAGCCCTAAGTAAATAGCAAAGGTTGTGGGATGTGTATTTTGCCTGTCGTTACTTTCAGAACTATTTTAAGCCTGCAA